CAGAAGTACGTGAATATAGGGATCGGACTTCTGGGACATACCCTGTTGAGTAAGTGTAGTTAGCAGCACTGATCTATCGACAGAATCAAACACATCCTTGATGTCAAGGGTACCAGGACTGTGGTTCGTCCGTACATGTGGTGTTGCTCTAACACCTGACAAAGTGTGAAGATGTGGTCAACGTAGCCTCTCCCCAGTCAAAATCCCGCTTGATTTTCACGAGTCAAGGCTTCACCTGCCATTGCAAGACGACGAAGAATCAGCGACACCGGAAGCCTTGTCACAACAAGCGTCGCACTAACACCTCTGTGGTTACTACATTCGCTGCAAGTGTCCTTTTTGAAAGTGGGCACTACTATCGATTCACTCCAGTTGCCTGGGCGGTCTCCTTCTCCCAGAGAGACTCAAATAGGCCAGTTAGGCACTAACTAAGAATTCCACCACCATCCTTGAAAAGAGCAGGTAGAAGGTCGTCAGCACCAGCTGCGCGATGACGCTTGAGTAGAGATATGCACTCGGACACTTCTGAGACCGAAGGCGGCTCCATATTCACAGTCCAATCTTCTGTTGAAGGCCAGGATTCTGGATTGGAGGTAACAGGTGGCCAGCTGAATTGCTGTTCGAATAACTGTGCCCAGAGGATCAAACGCTCTTCATTGTTGCATATAAGAGAGCCATTTTGGTCTCTGATTATTTCTCTGACAAGATGTTTCCGAAGATAAGACGAACGAATCAAGTGGAACAGTTTGCGCACTTTTCCAGCATTCTTGCATTTTCCATTTATTCGGCCTTTCGGTTCCATCAAGCTTGTTGGTCTGCCCGGACACTCAGTTTCAACTGGTGTCGAATGGTGCGTCGGTTGGAGTTGTGGCTGTGACCAGGAGGAATCTGTCAGAGTAATCAGAAGTTCAATGTTTGGATGAGGTTCGCTGGATTTTCCCGCAAGCAGACGTTCCGGCTCTGGGTAGTGCTTTGGATATCTTTTCCCAGTGGCTGTTTATATCCGACATCGTACCGTTCGGCAGGCGTTTGACGAGCCGCTTCTGATAATTCCTTTTGACTCCTTGGTCCACTAGTTACTCACTGGCTGAGTGAGGTGTGCGTGTTTTGTATAGACTTGAAAAGCGCAATGAAAAGCAGCAGCGTACAAGTGCATGGTCGGAGTCCACGCTGGTGTTCCAGAAGGAGCGGCAAGTAGTAGTCGACCCTCGTCACCGACAACTGACGGCGGTGGGGTCTATTTGGGTTCGTGACTGGTTTGTTGGTGGGCACCACGTTGTCAAGCGATTTCCGCTGTTCCGGAAATTCGTACTACAAAGAAACAGTATGTGACCGGTACACATTTGAAGCAGGCGGTCTTCGTCATCCATGCGTCTCGTGTCCAATCTCAGACGAACACCCAATCGGGCCCTATCGGTGCTTAGTTTCTCTACCTGGACTTCAATATCACCAGCAACCACAACGATATCCGAGCTTTTAGCCCGATGTAAAAGGACACCTAGAGTGTCATGGAAACTGTCCTCTGCAGATGCAGAGCTACAGTCAGTTGGGGCGTAAGCAAACACAATAAACGGTGCGATGGACCTCACTTCTTATAGATTTTCTCACATATGTTGCCAAACAAACCGCACAGAGGCGACTATCAACGGATATCCAATCAAGCATGGACGCTTCCACTCGGTCACTCAAAACAACACCCACTCCAGCATATCCAGCTGCAGAGGCCTCTGCATCACTAGAGGTGCGCAGCCGGAACCTGCAACAGAGATAGGGACTAGTCGGTTCGAACACAGTACTTGCGTCCTGTAGCCTTGTTTCTAAGAGGCAGCATACATCAATGCAGATGGAATCCAGCGTACGAGCAAGAGCCGCCTTTTGTCCTGCTTGCTTCAGTGTGCGAACATTAACGGCGGTCAGGTAGACAGGCTCTAGGGGTATAAAAACAGACTTCGAGGTGTTTATAGTTGTTACTGAACTCAGGCGTACAGAAACTGCAGCTGTGTGTGATGCACGGTGCGCAAAATGGTCAGTCTTAGTGCTGGGACCTGCGGAGAGTGTTCAAATTCGGGTAGGGTAGGGTGGAAGAAGGAGAACGTGGAAGTGTAAGATGGGCGTTAGCAATATCGTGTTTTCGCTTACCCACCCTGCTGCATGCAAAAAGTAAGGCGACCTGGCTGGTGACACCACACGATGGCCTATGTTTTAAGTGCCATCGTTATACTTAGGCTGGATTCAAATCGGCGAATTTCGGAACAATAAAAGGCAGATGGGAGGGCTGATCAGTGATCAGTGATATGTTTCTACTGGACCTTAATTCTCAATCAGGTGGCTCACATGCCTAGCTGCTGTGCCACCCTAAATGAGTACAAGGGCTGAAATACAGCCAGATCGCCCAAGCCAGAAGCAGTCGAGATGCCGGAGTCGGGTTCGAACCACGGACCTTTCAGTTAGTAATTCCGCGTCTAAACCACTGAGTTACCTCGAGCCATCATTCGACCTGATATCGACTAATTTGTCGGGGGTTCACACAGAATAAATGTGGCTAAAACCCCATCTAGTGAGTTCAAAAACTGCCGCAATCAATAGATTGAGTGTGATCCTGTCAACTACTACAGCCACGAATGTTGTATTGAGGATTATGAGCAACCGCAACTGCAAGCCTCCAGTATGGTGGTATACGTCTCACACAGTCCTAATCATACGTCCTCAAGCAAACAAATCACAATACAACCACATTAGTTTACACAGTAGAACCGGATAAACGAAATTCCCCGCCATTTGTGTGTCACGTGTGGCGCATGGTTTGCTTGCGAACCTAGACCAATGAATTTTGGTAAAGAAAAGCGACCGCTCTGCGTCGATTGATGGTAAGATTAACCAAAATACAAGGAGTACCTTGATAGACCTGTGGCACAGTATGGCGTAGGCTGTTACTAGCACCCTGTCGAGTGAGACACACCGATGGGTCCCACCTAGTTTTCGAACATGCATGTTCCAATATCGTCTGTTAATTATTTTTAACAGAAACGTTTTGCTATATGTATATCATTTCGTGCCTGGATCGTTTGTCTTTAGAGCGAATCTAGATAGCCCAATTCTCTGGAAAAGTCGACCAGTTGAAATAGGTATCATTCAATCATGGTTGGTTTATTTGGGTGGGGAAAATGATTTGCGCTAACACATTCGGGCCAATCCGGATATGAATCTACTGACTAGACCATAGCAAGTAAGGGGAAAGAAACAAAAATTGTGGAATCGATACAGACAATCATAGATTTACTGAGTATGATAAGGGAACTAGAGCTATTGTCCCTAAGAAGACTGTGAATTGGAGAAAAAGAGTCAACCGTATTCATAACGGTTATATCAAGATCGGAAGGAGGTGGAACGCTGTAAAATATACATGTCAGAAGCCAAATTATATTCCATCAAAGACAAACGTGAAAGTCATGCATGCACAGCCCACATTGGGCCCACATTAGGAAAACAGATCAGGAAAACGCATCGGCGCAAATGATTGGGTTAAGCCACTAACCTACTGGCAACCAAAGTAGAGCGATGTATGGATGCTCGTGTGTTACCTGTAACGGTGTTCAAAACGATGGCTTGCTATGAGTATCACCACGAAGACCAAGAGAGACGAGGCCACAGCATGGTATAGTACAATAACGATCGTTCAGCTGCCACGCCACCCTATAGAAGCATGAGGGCCTATACTAGAGCTATCGCCTGAAAAAAATAAGACGTCTGATCTGCAAGTATCACGTTTTACGAAAGAACCTCCATTCATGATTGTCTAAGGGAGATACCCTCCTACCTGTGGAAGCTGAAGCCTTGTAGAGTACTTCCTCTATCGAGTGACCCTGCCTCTCCAACACAAGCTTGCAGTCGAAAAGTCTGTAGTTCGATTCCAACCTAAACCTACCAATATCCCGACCCGCATGCTTTCTTAGAATAGAACGAAAGTAATGCACGAACGGTCGTGTCTGTTAAATGTACCTCCACAGTCGAGAAAAGAGTAAAGAAATAGGGTCAGAAGAAATGCCACACAGCTAGTCTAAGTACTCTGTCTTCAGTGATTTGAACCAACATTGGCTGTAAAAGGGTGTTCGGTCACACACTGAGATAATGCAATAAGCCGCCCCCTAATGTTATTCAGATACATGTGGTGTCCAAATCGATAACCAACTAAAAACAAATTACCAAGCTTGAAATGGGATATGTTGACTCAGTATTCCCAGAACGAATAAGGATGCAGAAGGACTCACAGTATCATCAGCCTCTTCCCGTTGAATTCTCTCCAGTGAACAGTACTCATTGGCAAGGGAACACTGACAACATTGAGTAGAAGCACGTGATGTGCCAAGTTGCGTGGTGTGCACCACATTAAACGGGGTCGTATGTGAATGGTCGGATAAGGTCTGGTCCGAGGTGCTCATCAAGCCTAACGGGCCTGGGCCAGAAGAGAATGGTGTATCCAGCACAGCGGCAATCGATGTGAGGCGACGCCATTCGGCTTGATAGATTGCCGACTGATTGTTGTTCTCGATCCACTCGCAAAGCTCAGTGGCCCGGTCCGAAAGGAACAGGTGACACCCGGGAGCTTCGGGATGGTAAGGCGAAGCAGTCAAAAAGAACAAAGAGGCCCGATCAACATCCAACTGTTCCGTGTCCTCGTTTGTTTTGATCCGAGCAGTGCCACACTGAACAAGTTCATCGTTGTCAAAACTCCAAGTAGCCAAGAGACGTGGATGGGCGCAACCAGGCCCCGTTGTGAAGTAAATTCGATCCCGAGTAACATGAAGATAACCATCGTCAGAAGCATTGATAAACGAACGGAACACTCCTGCACTGTTGGTGCCGACAGCAGCACTGTGTTGCGAACGTTTCGAAGACCAAATACTGAGCTGGTGTCGACGTCGGCGTTTCGCGTGGCTTGACAGTTTGCTCTCCTTTGATGCCATGATCAGATCAGCATGAAAGTAGCTGCCTGTGTTGAAATAAGAGAACAAAAATTTCAAGTGCCAGATGACAAACGACCATTGGTAGCTACCGAGACTACTCCTGTTCTACATCGATTCATCCCCGACAAATACGGGAATAGTAAATTCAAGCACGCTGCTTTCGCGCACGTCCGCTGATCATGAAAAACAAAACGAGAAGAGTCATTAGCACCTAGCCCAGTGCGTTCTCTGCACAGACCAGCCGTCAGATCATGACGGTTGAGTGATATTTAGCCGCACCAACGTAATGTAGGTTAACAAGTAAGATCGTGCAACACTGCCAGTTTGTTATTTGGACCAATCATGTAAACATCCAGTCTGTCCCACACCCTCAAAAACGTTTGCTTCGTTATGACAACCAATTACCAGGTTGTGGGCAACAAGGGTTCGTGGCTTCCCTGCAGTTCCCTGGCATAACAGGGAGAGCTTTAAAGTATTGTGCCCTGGAGAGGCGGACAAAGAATGGTGGTAATCATCCACACAAAACAAACTAGACAGGATAGTATGAATCCACAGTGTGTTGCTAAGAATAATGTCAAATGGAACCCAGGTCACAGATTATAATGCCGTGCTGTACACCGAATCTGCCAATTGAGTCATATGAGGCTGGTACGTTACTTAGCATAGAGAGCGTAGAGAGCGCTTCAAAGTTCGGTCTTCGAACACACACTTGTTCGATATACTAATTCGCCTTAACTAAGCCGCTAGGAGTTAGGACTAGCCATTAGCGACAATCGAAACCACACCTTTAGCACTGCGACAATAAACCGTTGCTGCACATACAGTGAGGCCAGGACGTCCGTTTCCAACGACAAAATCGTCTTCAAGGACCATGTGGCTTGATTTCGAAACAAAAGACAATCACTTTTGTTTGGATAGTGAGTGAGATGTCCCCCTCAGATAGACAAACGCCAGCAAATTTTTGACAAGATTGAGAGGAAACAATATGCATCAGTAACAATATCAACGGTGTAAGAGTTGGGAGAACTTCGATCAGGTTATAAGGATGAGTCCAAACAAATGTGGTGTTTTGTCGGTGAAAACACTACCTGGATCTGCAGCATTATGTTGCTTACTATATTTGGACAATTGGATGACATAGAAACGCGGGTAGGTGTTATGCCTCGGAAATTACAGAATAACGATGCACCCTGCTGACAGACAAACCGACCGATAAAGAGGCTACCCCCAAGAGCTGCTCAAACATCCCCAGTTGTGGGTATTCATTCTTGGGAGATTTTTCAGAATGGTCGGAACAATCAAATGATTCATTCAAAACCTACTTGACATGATAAATCACAGGTATGTAAAACCCGAACTCATTTATTTTACAGACAATCAAGGATAGAAGATTGGTTTAGAAAGATTTTCCAAGCTCTGTTATCCACTCTGTAGCATATGGTCGTATTCACTCCATAAACCTATTATACTCGATAATACCTCCAAACTTTCCACACGAACGCTAACGAATGCCACTCAGAAAAACTGGACTAAATCCAGTCATCGAATAGAGTACAGGTTTCACCAGTAAAAAACCGCATGTTCCCCCTTCCTCGAGGGCACCGAGATACGCGGCGGCATTCTGTTGGTATTTAACTGTCCACGTCTAATTCGAAAAGCGTTCGCCACTGATACATGAAGCGTCCGCTGGATGGAAGCATCCCATTAAGCGGGAGCTTGATTCTGCTGTCATCATTATAATCATCATCATCATCATGGGCAGAATGACATCAGTGTTCAACACTAATGCTTCCCTGCCTTACAGCCATGATTTGAGAACCTTATTGTGAAGAAAAAATAAAGGTGGACAGGGAAGGGATACAATGCTAGCTTACTACAATCATTCCAAGGTGCCTACACCTCCAGACATTCATTCAGACAGCTGGATAGAAGCTGTCAAAAGGAATGCCATTGACATCTCGCAGTGTCTCAAACCAGGCACAGTGGGGATCACGCCATTCTGGTAGGTGAGGAGAACCGACAGCACCCAAAGGTTTCGTAATCTCTTTCATCCCCCTCTGCCATGTCAATGATTGGCCACCTCTCTTGTCTGCTGTAAAAAGGTCTCAGATCTTCAACGAACCGATCAACCTTATGCAAGTACTTGAGATGCGAATATATTTGATGAGTCAGGGGAAGGGTGACGAGAGGCTTAAGCCTACGCAGACCCGTACGCATCAGTAATAGACGTCGTGCACCCGCTCCATAACCAGTGGGCTGAAATGGTTTGCATAGGATTGGATAAAAAAATTACCGTAGGGGAGGGACAAGACAAGATGTGCCTCGATTAGTGTTACCAGCACAGTGGCAATCGGACCGAGTAATATATGTGATGCGAACACAGAAAACAGGAACTCTAGATAAAGCCAGCTAGACTCGACTTCAGTTTAATTTGGTTCAGCTTTTCAACCATAGACAGTTCGGAAGCATAGGTTTGTTTGGATTGCCAAGGCCCGATAGTGGCGATAGGATCTTGAAATTCATTCTGAAGCCCTAATGAAGGAATGAACTGACTAACTGGGTGTGCTGTTACCAACTAGTCTTCCCATGCTATGGCGTCTAGGGGTGAACTATGTAAATTCGGCTGTCCCAGTGGCTGGAGTAGGTAGCTAGATAGCTAGGAAACTCAATCTTAGGAAACTCGTTTATACCAGACGTTGGGATGTTGACAGCCAAAACATTACTGTTCAACCGAATTCTCGATAGCTGCGCACGATTGCCGCAGGATTCAGACTTTTGGAACAGACAGATCCGCTTGGTCCTAGACCAGACAGTTTTGGTACATACGACCAAAATGCGCTGCTGTTCAAACTCATCGACTTGAGAAATGCAGCGGCAAAGGTCAAAAACCTATCACTCGATATCACCGCCGTAGCCCCAGCTTATGGTTGTCACCTTGATGCGGTGGTTAAGCATCAGGGCTCCGATGGACTACGTTGGCTGGACTCCCGTGGGCCAAGACAGCCAAGGAAAGCAGCGCGAAGAATAACTCACACATCGACAAGTCGGATTACCGGGTGGTCTGGAGGCGAATTTATATCGTTCCCGTGAGAGTAGTGTGAAGGCGGCAAAACTTTCCTTTGAGGCGACCGGCACATTTGTGGAAGCAGCGATGCTGCCTTTCCCAGACGGTAGCACCAGTTAGAAAAGGTCAGCCCTAAAAACCACACACTTTGGTCGCTCAACGGTTGACCGTGACTGTCGGTGCATCATTCAGTATAGCTGAAATACTTTTAAAACGAAACTCCGAAGTATCTATGCTGAACACCGGTGTGTTGTCAACGATGACTGTGAATTCACAGGCTGAGGAAGTTTGCAATGACCGTTTATTGGACGAATATCGCCCAAAAGCGACCCTCCCCACAATGGCGGTATACTGTGAGTTTTATGTCGAACGATGGGACGGATGTCAACATATAGACATGAATAACTTTTCAGCGACTAGCGCCCAACGTCTTTGTCTCCTTTGTGGCTCCACAATCAGGGTATTCGAGTGAGTGTTAACGCAGGCCCATATGGAAATTGATAGAATCTTTCATTCCCGCATAAATTACTTGTTAAACATCGAATGTGAAAGGCAGGTATATCCATATATTGGGATGCTTAATATTGTCACACGTTACCAATAACAGACAGGTGGGATAGCTGCAGATGATATAGTGGCTCACTCTGGCTTCCTATACATCTCGTTAGCACATGTGGCTTGTAATGTTGATCTATACAGACAAAATGGGGTCGACTGCAGCTGACATTTCCAGTCCATAAAAAGGAGTCCACCCGGATTACCTACATAACGCTCGAAATCCATGCAACAACGCAGAAAGGAATCCAATTTGATCTTCCATCAAACAAATGCACGACATGAGCATGACCAAAAAAGGTTACGGGCGCATACTACGTCAGCTGAAGCCAGCTCAACCCGAATATTGTCCTGAGACGATGGATTTAAGGTGTCAAATACAGTTCTGACACTTCAATCGAGACTCTTTAGATGGTGACAGTTTTTAAGGTACTCGTGCGCTTGACGTTGCATGCTGAACTTGAAAAACCTAACCGATTTCCATAAGGGGAACTACTCACAAGGTTGCTGAAAACTCTTCGACAGACCACAACAGGTTTCGCCCTTCTTGAAGCTCATCAGGTAGGGCATTTTTTCTGGTTAATCCCGCTCCCCCGTTTCCATTCAGTGTACCGCAGCTGGAGATAGCTTATTGACTAAAGCGCAAATTTACTGACCGGAATGTCCGTAGTTCGAACCGAAATCTGGCATTTCGACTGCTCGGGTGTGGATTTGGGCAACCTGATAGTTTCCCAGCCTTCACAACTCCTACGAGTGGTATGGAAGCTATACACCGAAAAGGTCTTACAGCTGAACGATTATTTTTATTAATCAGTGTGCCCTTAGATGTCATACAAGACGTCCAGCTTGTCTGTTTGACCGCGGAAGATACGCTGGGGTACGCACATGCTCGATGCAACCGTGTTTGCATATTCTTGAGGGATGAACTGATATCCACTGCGAGAAACAACTGCTCACGCCTACATAGTTACGAGGTGTAAAAATGATGGAAGTGCTTTCATATTCCACTTGAAAAATTCGGATCAACTAAACCAAGAATCGACAAATACGACATAATGGAACTCTTCAAAAGGTCCGGAGCTGTCCCACACTTCCTTAAACATTAAGTTAACGGGAGAGCGTGAGGCGAATGACACAGTTGCCTTCTTCGATGTCCAACTGGTCCGCCAAGATGATGGAATGCTTCATAGATCAGTTCACCGAAAACATATTTGGACCAACCAGTACTTTCATTTCTCCAGTTTTGTGCCGATGCGCCGGTTGAGATGTAATATGGTACAGCATAAGAAAATTTCACGGAAGGTACCCATGACACCGAGCTTAACTATTTGGAAGGGATTTCTCACTCAAATGCTTCAGCTGAAGGCGCGGATTTGTCCAGTCCCAAAGGCAGATCTTTTTCAGAAT